AGAATTTGGAAATTTGAGAATTTGGAAATTTGAGAATTCGGAAATTTAAGAATTTGGAAATTTAAGAATTTGGAAATTTGAGAATTTGGAAATGTGGAAATTTGAGAATTTGAAAATTTCGTAGTTGGAGAATTGAAAATTGGGAAACTGGAGAATTTGGGAATTTAGAAATTTGGTAATTGAAAAACTGGAAAAGTGGAGAATTTGGAAATTTAATTAATTTCGATCGGTAATGATACATGTTGCGGCATCTCTCTCGCGAACAGGGTGAACTACAACAGAAATCAAACTAATAAGATTAACCTAGAAATAGTTCAAATAGTTAAAACAGTTTAAAGTTCCTGCGCTCCAATATAATTCAATTCATATTATAATGAATTAAACTTACAAATCAACTAAATTAATTGAATTGAACCGAAAACGAAACACGTAGCGCCATCAAGGCACAGTCTGTCGAAACTAACGAAACAGTTTCAAAAGCGTTCATCCTGTTCGCCCGAGAAATGGCGCCACTTGTTCCCTTTTTAGTAAAAGTTCAATTAACATTGATTTTATTGATTAACATACTACATACTTACTATATATTTATTAATATTAATTTTATTAATCAACATACTATGTATTTATCAATAATTCTACGCGGTTTGCAATATATTCCCACAATCCAATCACAGTAATAATCCACAAATTTATTTCCTCAAACGTACACACGTACCACAAAAACACTATTTACGTCAAAATTTTACTTATAAAAACTGCCCATCGCCTTTTTCAATTCGTATCGATTAAGCTCCGGAATCGCTCCACCCGCCATCTTACGAAACGAATTTTTCGCTCCCAACGAACGTAACACGCTCATTTTATCCATTGCTTTTCGAGTACCCCGTTTATCTTCATTCTCCCTCTGTGGCTCAATATTCTTATGATAATACCGTTCAAAGTACTCGTCAAATTCCATCGCGTCGTCGTACTCATTTTTGTTTGGAACTTTCTTCCCAACATTCGCTGTCTTACGTTTAGCCACTGATCTTCCCGACAGGTCGCTCTTGTTGACGGAATCCACCGATTTCCCAGTGAGGGGCTCCGATTTCTCGGACAATCGATCCAGAGTCGCTTTGCTGCTCTTCAAGAGTCCCCTAGGATGATCCATCTTGTCGTTCAACTCGAACAACTTCGCGTCCCCGCCGGAAAGTCTCGACTTCTCGAAGCTGCCTTCGAATATGCTTCCAGGGCTGTGCATGTTCTTTAAACTGGCCTCGATCAGGTCCGCCAAATCCAGACAGTCGTTCTTCACCACCGAACGTAATCCCTGATCGTCCAAAACGGCCGAGGCGGTCTTTAAAATCGTAGATTTGCTTTGACCGATCTTCTTCGTTTTGTTCTTCGGCTTCAACTTAACCGGATCCTCCTGAACCGATTTCATCACCGGTTTCTCGTTCTTGCCTTTCGGGTTAACGATTTTCGATTTCGAGTTTTCCTCCGATGTCTTCAAACTCGAGTTGCTGTATTTTGGGTCAATTTTCCGAGTCCTGTTTTGCTTCAACTTTGTCTCGCTTGGTTTGTCTTTTAATGAATCCTTGGTTTCTATTTTGGCCTCGAGTTTGGTGCTAGATTGCTGTTTCATAGATTTCATGTTCTTCTGCGCTGCGGTTTGCAGCGAACGAATGAGGGAATTCTTCTTCTCGGATGATTGCAATTTTTCTTTTTCTATTGTAGCTCCGTCGAGACGGCTTTCGGACAATTTTCTGGGGACGGGGTTCTGAACGATTTTCTTTGGAACGTTTTTTGGTGGCTTTTTTGGAGGTTGATTTTCTGCTGCAGCGGGTTTGGGGAATCTGCCGAAATTGGAGGCTCTTGGGAAGTCTTCGGGTTTTGGGGGAGATTTTGTTTGCTTCGTTATGGGTCGAGGTCGAGACATCTGAAGATAAAGTAGTTAAGTGAAGAAAGTGGCAAAATTTGACAGCAAAGAAAAGCTCATTTAACTTGAAAAGTTCAAAGAAGTGATCTGCTGATTATTAATACAAATGTACTAAATATAATAAATATATTAAAAATAATAAAGATAGTGATTATACTAAAAATGGCAAAGACAGTGAATATACTAAATATAAGTGTGCTATTAGTATAAATGACGACTAAAATAAATGTGCTTAAGTTTATGAAACCTGATTATTCACGTAATTAACTGAGAACGAATAATCCCATTGACGGTTAAATGATATAACATACATATAATATAGCTCGTATGATATAATATCATTTCTATATTAACATATAAAGATTGTAAGGTGCGGTATGGATTATTGGATACATTCTATACGTAACTTAATCTATAACTGTCAGATTGAGTAAATAAAAAAATTATTGTTACTGAAAATTGCATTTGATATGGTTTTCATTGCAACTTTGGGTACAGAAAAACATTAATAATTGTATAAACAAAAGTAATGACTTGTTATTTCTCTATTAATTGCATGTTTCTTCATAGAATGATTGTAGATTCAGAAGACAAGAATTCTTGAGAAGAACTTTTAATTGAAAAAAGAACGAAAAAGTAGTGAAACAGAAACATTAATTAATAACAAATATCATACTTGTTAAAAACTGTAACTAAATTTTTTCCTAGAAACCATTACTTTTTATAAATAATTTTTAGGATAATTTTACTATGATATTTCTAACATCTTCGAATGTTTACAAGTAAAAAATTCTTCAATTTTTATTGTAGTAATATTGAATTCTTAACTGTATAAAAATGACAATAAATTGGAAATCTGCTGCAACAGAATAATAAGAACCTTGATATACCTTTATTAATCCCTGCATTTGCGCCATCTGAAATAATTCCTTCCACGAAATGGCTTCCAACTTTCCGTACGGTCTTTTCAATGGCTTGTATTTCTTGTACAATGCTTTCCACACAGAATTATCATCGAAGACCTAAATGTTTATTAATAAAATCCATCGAAATTAATGTGATTCATTTTATTAGGTTGTTGATATTTATACGACTATTTTTTATAGTATTTCTGTCACCTCTTTAGCAACGTGCGATAAGGATGATAATTGAACGATGTCCTGCACCGTCAGATATCTGATTAATTTCTCGATTAAACACTTTGGCAATGTTAGCAATGAGTTTCTCTGACCGGAAGCGATGTATCTTATGTGTATTAACAAATATTTACCTGTTGGATTGATAACATTTCGTGGACGTTATGAAACATTTAGAACAGTTCAATAAATACATTTTTATTCGGTTACATTATTATAACACAAAATTGGTACTTTTATGCATTATTTTGAGATGTGACGCCATTGCAAAATAGTCAAGCTTATTAATAATCAATTATAAGAAAATATTGCAGCAATAACACACAGCAAAAATGTGCATAATAAATAAAATAAAAGATGCAACATATGAAACATATGTGACAAATATATTTGGCTTTGAGAACAAAATAAAAGTAAAATATTAAACAGATTATTAATAATGTGGGAGGAAATAAAGAAGACCAAACAAAAATTTAATGAAATGTGTACATTCAGTTTCTTCTCAAAATATTACATATTAAGCATGTAAGAAATAATACAGAAAATATTTTAACAGATATAAACAATGTAAAATGATACTACAACGTAGTTTCCTACATTTCAACATTTCATCCAAAGAGAAGGAAGGACTAAGTTTACTGCACTCATTAATGAATTATAACCCGAATATAATAACCTTATAATTTTTTAATGTTATGAATAATTTTATAACAACTTCATCGCATATAAAGAATATCTAACTATGTAAGATATACTTCGTCAGACATGTAACTTTCTCCAAATCTTTAACATTTCAGTCCTTCTCCAATGGTTTTTATCGAACCATTCTCAACAGAGAACTCTACGGTTATCCTTCAAGCTATTTTATTTTGGTATTTAGTAGCTATTTTCACTGCGATATCGCGGTGCTTATCAATTCGCAATTGACATTTAATTACCAAAAATACGTCGAATTTCGTCCTGCAGCAGTTTGTCCTGCGTGAAATCGTCGAAACTGGCGGTTCGCACGACTGGCAGTTTATGGGGACCGTGCGAGATTCTCCAGAGATAAAGAATCACCTGCAAAATGGATAAAGTTACTAGGCAGAATCGCGAGAACGCGACCTATTCGTGAGCACCTGGTCACCGAGTACTCTGAGCCCATAGTAATCTCTGCTAGGCGAAGGTGCTATCGAATACTTTTCCAGATACTCGATCTTACCGCTCATACTCGACGCATCCAACTCCGAAAAATCTCCACGTTCGACCTGAAACTGCTTCGAAGTCGCCTGAAGGAAAAATCTTCACGTTCGACTTGAAACTGCTTAATGTCATTTCGATTAATGATACAGTAGACTCTTGTTATTTTAGCCGCTTCGCAATTTTAAAAATAAATATCGCAAGGAAAAAAATAAGATATTCATATCAGGAATTGGTTCTTCAATAAGAATTATTCGAATCATAGATGCATCATGAGTTATTTTAGTAAGAAATTAATTAACCCTTAATCTTTAGCTTTTCCTCTCATCAATATTTTTCATTCCTGTATAGAAAGTACCGTAAGCCTTCGATTATTTATTATATCTTAAACCTAACTAGTTGTCAGAACAAGAAAGGTGATAAAGGATGCACAGTTTTCAGTTTCATCAATATTTTATTACAATAGTTCCATATGAAGAGATGAAGATAAATATAGAAATGTCGAAGTAAAAATGGAAAGTTGCGTGACTATACACACTATTTTGTAATGTTACGTTATAACAATATACAATAAGTAGGCTATACAAGTAATATCACAATGCATGATTCACAACTTCGTAAAAGTCTAGAGAAGAGAATATAAATCTAAAGACACAGGACACTGGTGTCCCTGTTGATTAGAAACTCGAGATGATAAAAAAAAATTGAAGAGAAAAGAAAATATGCTTCCTCCGTTTCTTCGTTTACGCTACACACTCTTGAGAATCGGAAATATATAATATTGTATACATACGTTATGTACTGTTACGCACGTGTTCGAATAATGCCAATTCGCAGCAGTTGTCGTTATTCGTTCAATAATATAGAATATCGACGGTACTAAAAGCTAATAGTATTGTAGACAGTACTTGACTTCGTAGTAAATAGTACTTTCCTTATTCGTAATTATAATAAAATAATAGTAATAATGATAATTATAGTAATAGTAACAATGAATAAAAGATTAATTTATCAATGACAACAGACGCGTATGAATTCTTTTGTTTCTTGTCGTGTAATGTTTGATTGCATGGTTGATATGACGTTCCCTAGCTCTTCAAACGATCGCTATATATCTCGAACGACGTTAAAAAACCGCATGAAAATAAATTACTATACGCTACCATATTCGAGAAGTCTTATGAGCGACGGAATAAACTTATAGGCTCGTATTCATAACACTGTATTATCACTAAACGATACAACTCTGTTCTCGCCAATGAATTTTTTTCGTCGATAATGACTTTTGATTAATCGTTTCATTCAAAAGGCAAATTGGTCGACGTGAAAAATATTACCGATACACTTTTAATATCAATCGAGGTTATTGGTAATTACGTAGAATATTGTATTAACCCTTTGCGGTCCTTTTGTTATACTCAGTCACCACATTGACTGATCTTATATTACACAAAATCAACATTCGCAGTCATTTTAGAGGTTATATTATATCAAGAATTTCGAGTAAGACACCAACTCCAATAACAAGTTGGAGACAACGGTAGGTCTAGTTAATATCCTCTCAATAAATTTCACGAAATTAAACGCTTTCTCCAAAAACTTTAAAAGTATTAATCCTTTGCGCTCGAGAGGCGCTTCTTAGGCGCCATTCGATTTAATACAATAATATAAAAGAAGCATTATTTAATTAATTCTATAATAGTGCTTATGTGATGTATAAACGTAATGAAATAGACAATAGTGGAAATTATTAGTAGAGAAATAATAACTTCAAAAGAAATCATTTAACATTTTAATTAATATTTCAAAGTTGCTGTTTGTAAACAGTAAAATTATCTTCGAGTGCAAAGGGTTAATCATAATAATTTTGTAGTCGAAACGTGCGACTTTTGTGATCGTGAAACTGTCATAGACAGTTTTTTTGGGGTTAACGTTCAACGACTCTAAACTCTCGATATGTACCTGAAGTTTAAAAAGGAATTATTAAATTTTGTTTTCCTTTATAAGCTTGCAGGTATTACTGTTCAAAATTCTGACCAGTAATATGTGTAAACTGAATACTGCAAAGGGTTAATATTGAGGTGTAGAATATAATCTAGAATAATTTTTAGACAATAACCACTCGATAAAGTTCTGTCATATAATTCCCTGTTAACGTTCGGTTTTTTAAGTAGACAAAGAACTTATTTTAATTCACAGGAGAACTATACTATTCACGTCCAATAATTCCTCGTTTAGAGATCTATTTCCAGAGCCCCGAAAGCGGGGATTTATCGAGTAGCTATTGTAAAATAATAAAAAGTAGAAACTGGAATTTCAGTGAACTCTGAATGTAGCATTTAACATAATTTAACACCTTCAGACCCACTTCTGCAATATTACACAATATCACAATTATTACATGTGTAATATTGCAAACAATTTATGTTACTCTTCAACCAAACTAATTTTTTTTATTAATAAATTAACATAGTCAATTTTAGCACACTGCATTATCACTAGAAATGTGAAACAATACAACTATCATGTAAAAAAATATTAATTTAATTATCAAAGTTGTGTCAACAAAATTTTCATGTTTCTTGAAAAATAAGTTGAGTTACAAGAGTACATAACAAATTACTCACGAAATTTTTATAATAAATGTAAAGATCCTACGTAATTATTACATATATCCTACGTAATTACCAAATTATTAATTTTATAATTGCTTATACATATATACTTCGATCAATCTAATTAAAATCGTGTTAAACTTTCCAAACAACGATTGAATTAACTTCGCATTAGCGGAGTAAAGAAGTATAGTTCGTTTTATTAGAGCGTTCTGAATACTGGCCAAACAGCATAAAAAATTGAGTTTCGTGCCCACGTCAAGAACGCTTTGCCACGTAGACTGATCGTTGTTGTTGTAACTCCTTTCAATCATGGTCGATTATGAGAAGCTCAGCGAAAATTCGAACATTTCCTTCATAAGTTCTTGTATTTATTAACATCTTCTAGATCTACTTCAATCGCTATATTCATCGTTCTTTATCGGTGATTCATAATTTGATACACGTTAACTGTTAACAAACACCTGATGTTTTCAGGTTATAACTTATAACTTAAAATAATTTTCAGGTTATAATTTGAAATTTGAAGATTTAGGTAGAATTTTAGAGAATTGGGAAGATAGACATTTAGAAGTTTGTAAATGTAGAAAGATAGGAAGACAGAGATTTTGAAATTTGAAGAGGCAGAAAGTGAGAAAGACAGTGATTATAAAATTTGGAAATAGAGAATGTCAGAAAAATAGAAATGTAGAAATTTGATGACTTAGGAAGTCAAAGTTTGATGAGTTTCATTACTTTAGAATCTAAAAATTCCGAAATTCGATTCAAATTTAAAAATCTAGAAATTTAGACGTTCGATTATTTGAGCATCTAGAAATTTGACAATTTGAAAATCTAAAAATTTAGAAATTCCATAGTTTGAGATTCTAGATATTTAAAAATTTAGATATTTAGAAATTCGATAATTTGAGAATCTAGAAATTTAGAAATTCGATGATTTGAGAATCTAGAAATTTAGAAATTCGATGATTTGAGAATCTAGAAATTTAGAAATTCGATAATTTGAGAATCTAGAAATGTAGAAATTCGATAATTTGAAAATCTAAAAATTTAGAAATTCGATAATTTCCAAATCTAAAAATTTAGAAATCCCATAATCTGGAAACCTGAAAATTTAAATTCGATAATTTCAGAATCCATGAATTTAGAAATCCCATAATCTGGAAACCCAAAAACTTAAAGAGTCCAAAATTAATAACTTGAAAATCAAAGTTTAGAAATTATTTACTCGAATCTCTGAAATGTCAGAAATTCGATAACCTGAAAATTGAAAAAGAAATTAATCATGTATCAGAATATAGGAACGACCGACTCGAACGAGCTAAAACGTGTTCCCAGCAAAATGGAGCTACCCATCACTACTTCTCTATCCTCTAACCGTTTGTACTCGGCACACTCGTGACAAACGCATCGTTCCTCATGGTTGTACCATCGTTATGAGTATATAATGTTATGTATAACCGCGTGATTCGTCTCGACAGGTAAAAAGTATCGTCGGGTACGATCAACATAAGCGTAACGACGACGACGTGCGTACCTCTGATTGCAACGCATAATATGCTCCTGTACGTGTATACATAAATGTGTGTGTATACATATAGATATATGTATATATAATATTATCTGGAAGAACAGATTTGCGTATTGCAACAGCGCGAAGAACGCCGTAACGCCTTACCGAGGCAAACGATATCTTCTTGTCTCGGATATGTGACTCTATCGCCTATTTTGGTCGTGTATAATCGGTATTCTAATCGATGATCGAGATCGTCGCTTGTGAAACGTGTGTATTTGAAAATTGACGGTAATTAACTTAATTAGTTTAACTTAAGTCTGATAACGCGTTCGTTTAAAATAAATGGCTGATTAGAGGATTCCGGTAATGTTTATTCGCTACAATAGAATTATATAAGACTGCGTTTAGACAGGTAATTAGTTATTAGATTTGCAATTTGCTACTTATATCAAAACAGGCCAAATAGCGCGTCATTTTTTGATATACAGCTTGACACAACATTTGGGGGACTTATACTATAACTTTAGTATATAGATTACTAGATAACTTCACTTTTCAAGTTTTATCTAACGTGGAGCTCAAGGACTTGTTTCGAACTTGATGGAAAAATATTCTGATGAATTTAATACATCATGGTTAGGTTAGGTTTGCACGGACCCTGATTTAACAAAGTAAAAACTCAAAGTGTAAGCCTTACTGTTGCATAAATTAATTTTGGTTTAAGTATTGAAATATTATTTAAGAGCAGAGACCCCTAAAATGTGGATCCAGACTCACTGATGCATCACAAGTTAATTTTGGGTTATGTTAAACATTAGGATCATAAGTTCCCAACATGTGGATGCACTAATGGCTTTCAAGCTGCTTTTAGGTTATGTTAAATATCAAGTCTTCCAAAGTGTGGGTCCAGACTTATTGTTAGCTCAAGTTAATTTCGAGTTAAGTATTAAACTATAACAGATTTAGTTCCACACTATCTATCCTCTACCACAGGAACACTAATGCGTTATACGCGATACTTAATTATGTATAATACATACTAGTAAATGATTGCTTCTGGCATTTGATTTTGTCCTGTCTAGAAGAGGACAGACAGCGTGGGATCTTGATATAACTAATTATTAACTGTATTAACTTATTTAACTTTCTGTATTAACTTATTTCTGTTCTAGATTCATCAGAATTTGATCAAATTCGATAACCTGATTGTGACTTTTTCAATATGTCAGACTTTCAATATCTATCAATCTACAGTACTTTCCGATAAACTTGATACAATATCATATTTATCCATTAAAGGATCCAGTTGAAAATGATTAAAAAACTGTTAAAAACCAAAAGAAGCTAGGAATCCTCATAGTTCACTTAATTACAGTTAATTACACGATCATCGTCGACTACAGACTATTACTTTCTTGTTCCACTCTAAAAGTTAGGACTCATAGACGCGACCGCGTAATTTAGTCAATTTTCAAAATAGCCACACCGCTCTTTCTCTACGATGAACCGAATGATCATTCTACTTTCATGCTTATCATTAATTTTCGTGTTATCCTCGCACATCATCGTTCCGTCGATAAGGCGCTCGGCTGAGTAAGTTTAACGAGTACCAAATAAGAAAGAGAGAAACAGTACTCGAGTTAAAACGCAACTAACAGGATTAAGTATAAGAAAGAAACTGGAAAACCGTCGCGGACAAAAAGTCCCCATACAGGGTTATTCCCGCTGGTTCCCGCGTGTATATTAAATATCGAGTAAAAAGTAGTAATCTTCGATAGGCTACTCTGCAAGTACTTTGTACATCGAGTGAAAATCGAAATCCCTTCAGCGTGGAAAAAAATGGTCTGAAATGAGGACGTGCTCCTCGTTCTTCTCCAGTTTCCCATTAAGTCTGTTGAACCATGGAAACCGCGGTGTCGGTTATACCACCCTCGTCCCGACAGATGCTGGAGGAGGTGGTTGTCTGCTCCGAGGACGCCGGGGCAACCGTCAGTTGCCTTTGCTCCATGTGATCGAGGGTCTTCTCGATTGCCCTTAATCTCTTCTCCAGGCTCGTTGTGCCCAGAATTCCCACTTGTAGCTGAGGACCCAGAGGAAGAATCGCCAGCAACCACCACGTCCACGATGGACCATCCGGCAAACGAGGCCAATCCTCTTCCGTGTCTGGCATTCGACCGAATACTCGCTGGATTTCGGTCTGCTGCGAAGATGGCACCGTGTCCCACCATTTTCTGCCTTTCGTTCTCACCTGGTAACATTATTTTAGAAAACCTGAACATGTGATCACTCTTTCTGAAATGGCGGTCGATACAAATTTGGTGAAGGATACAGTGGATTAATTATGTTATGACAAAGCACCTTATGATATATTTGATGAGATTAGCACAACTTAGGTGTGCACGTAAAATGTATAAGTTTTCAATTATTCGTGTGGAAAGAACAATTTATGCTCGCATGTTTGACTGACAGAGTACTATCAATTTTTGAAAATAATCATATAAATATGACGGTAATTTGTGTATACTTTTTCTGTACAATGTGTATAGTGTCATATTAAATATTTAGATAGGGACGTTTAAGCTGGTTAACCTCAAAAACGATTTTTAATTTATGCACATAAAGAAAATTATTTTTAAGCAACATGCAAGTTGTTGAAAAGTAAAATAAAATGTAACTGTTTTCTGAATATAAATGTATAAATAAACACAACTGTAACACGAATTAACTAAAGAGATGTGCAATGACTTCAAAATGGCGGCCATCTATTAAACGATAGCACTAATAGTTTTGAGAGCTGCATCAAAAATAGCGAAATTTGATGTTTAATTAAAGTGTTAATTTCTAATTAATTTGTATTCAAAGACAGATAGTTTACCTTGTCATGCAGCTCCAGCAGGTTCAACAGTTGGTCTTCCTGCACCATTGTGTCCCTCAGGAATTCGACTTGAGCCGTGTCATAGCCATCCCTTTCACCCCCAGAGAGAACCCTGAATCTCCTACCGCCTACTGTGCTAAGGATACTACATCCATCTTTCAGTAAAACTCTGTCCCGAATTTCCAGCATGGTGCCATACTCCGCGTATCTGGAAAAGCATTAAACTTCCTTTTTATTTCGGAATGTTTGCTGATTTTGATCGATGACTTCAAGAGTTTATGAATTAGTAGTCAAATACTTTTTGTAGTTCCATTAAAAGATTTGTGGGAGGGTGGTAACAGGAATTGAACTCAGAATTATATAACCTATTAATTTTGTAATGTATACAATGTAATGTATATTCATGTATTTTTGTAATATAATGCATGTAATAAGATATTTATTATTCAGGCTATCAAACATGTAGTTTAATGTATAAATTAAATTGTAAATGTTCTGAAGTCTAACGATGCTTAAATAGATAAGATAAATGTACATTAAAACTGAATTCATTAATTATGATTAATGATTCAATAAATCAATCAACATTATTAATCAATCAATCACTATTATCAATGTAATAAATCAATCAATATTATCAATGTAACAAATAAATCAATATTATCAATGTAACAAATGAATCAATATTATCAATGTAACTGAATTAATATTATTAATATAATAAATAAATCACTAAAAAAAAATATTAGTTATTTTTCATTAAACAAAAATTTTTCGTTAGATATTTAAAGAATTATATGTTACGTCATTGTCACTTTGTAGAACCACTTTTGACTGTGAATACAGGTCTGATGAAAAATAACGTTTATTTGCATCTTTATATAAGAATGATCGTTAGTAGCCATTTACATACAAGAGATATCAAAAATTCTAGACTGGATTGTCTGCAATCCGTTACTTCCTGTCGCCGATAGACTGAACGGCTCCAAGATGTGCAAATAGGCGAATTTGCAGACGCTGTTCCACCCACGCGTAACGTCAGTTATTTTCTCAGACATTAAGTTCAAACAAGCTACATATCTCGGGTGAGGCAACTAACACGCTATTAGCTTTCTCGTAAATTCGCTGCTATGCAAAAATGTTCCAGGAGAAACTGTGTGATACGAACTATAGCATGGTACTAGCATTTCTGTACTTTAGGTGTCTCCCAAAATCTCAGAATTAATTTCGTAACTTTTTAAAAAATGTTTATTGGTATTCAGGGATATAGAGATTCAAGGGTATGGGAATTTAGGATTATAAGGATTTCTCGAATATAGGGACATTTCAGATCTCAATAATATCGTATATTGTTGATTATAATACCAGATCTCCAAATCCCCCAATCCCCAAATCCCCAAATTCCTAAATTCCCAAAATCCCTAAATTTCCAAATCCCCAAATTCCCAAATTTCCAAATTACCAAATTAACAAGCTCCTAAATCCTCAAATTCCCAAATTCCCAATTGGAATATGAATAATTCGGAATTGTTGCGTTAAGTGCTTCATACCGTATACAATGTTTCACTAATGTATAAACAGATAGAGCAGAGAACATTGTAACATTGGCCACGTGTATAATTCAAAGCTTTAAAACGAGATATTTGAACAATGAATACTTCGCGTACAACAGACTAAACAAGCTTTACGCATCCTCTAGAGTACAGTTTATCGTGTACATAATTATTTTCTCGTCTGCTGAATGTTATTTATATCTCATAGCACTTAAGCGGTACTCAATAAGAGCACTTTAACAAAGCAACGCACGAGCAACACGCATGGGACAACCATATATGTAATTAAAGAGTCATTCATTTCAATGAAATTTTCTTTGTTGGGGAAGATTAGTTAGATTCATGATGTGTTCTTTCGAATGGGATTAATACGGGGTGTTGGAATTTTGGATAAAGAGTGTAACTCAAAATGGTGACATTTTAATGTGTACTTGGGTTATGAAAGACGATATTTGGATATTTTAAATATTTTAAATTGGGATTTGGGAATTGGAGGATTTAGGGATTTGGGGATTTGAGGATTTGGGGATTTGAGGATTTGGGGATTTCAAGTAATTGGGATTCTTCAATATTTTTCTGTTCTTACGCTTTTACAGGTATTATAATTTTTGGAGACGTTGAATTAGGGGATATGTGGATGTGGTGGTTTAGGGATTTGGAGGTTTGGAGTATGGGGATTTAGAGATTTGGGAGGTTAAGGGAATTTGGGATATGTGGATGTGGCGATTTAGGGATTTGGGGGTCTGGGATATGGAAGGTTTTGGGGATTTGAGGATTTGGGAATTTGAGGATATGTGGATGTGTGGATATGTGGATTTGTGGATATGTGGATTTGTGGATATGTGGATTTGTGGATATGTGGATTTGTGGATATGTGGATTTGTGGATATGTGGATTTGTGGATATGTGGATTTGTGGATATGTGGATTTGTGGATATGTGGATTTGTGGATATGTGGATTTGTGGATATGTGGATTTGTGGATATGTGGATTTGTGGATATGTGGATTTGTGGATATGTGGATTTGTGGATATGTGGATTTGTGGATATGTGGATTTGTGGATATGTGGATTTGTGGATATGTGGATTTGTGGATATGTGGATTTGTGGATATGTGGATTTGTGGATATGTGGATTTGTGGATATGTGGATTTGTGGATATGTGGATTTGTGGATATGTGGATTTGTGGATATGTGGATTTGTGGATATGTGGATTTGTGGATATGTGGATTTGTGGATATGTGGATTTGTGGATATGTGGATTTGTGGATATGTGGATTTGTGGATATGTGGATTTGTGGATATGTGGATTTGTGGATTTGAGGATTTGAGGATTTGAGAATTTGAGAATTTGAGAATTTGAGGATATGGGGATTTGGAGATTTGGGAATTTAGGGATTTGACAAATTGTGGATTTGGGAATTTGGGAATTAGATATGTAGGAAATTTTAGAATTTAAAAATTGGAAAGTTGAAAATGGAAATTTAATACCTTGAAAATGTAGAGATCTACTAATTAAGGTATTATTGCTAAAACTCTTCTGAGTTCAATTCCATGCTCAATAAGGTAATCAATTCTTTGAGAATCGATCAAAATTGTTAATAAACACTTTAAGAATCGATAAGAATAATTAATCAATGCGATTACCTTTTCGTCCCCGTGGCTTCTCTGTTGAGACACGCGGCGATACCAAACTGTCTCACCCCGCTTTCTACACATCTCCTCACCATCAGCCTATATCTCGGCTCATAAACGAACAAGGGACACGCGACACAAGGGAATGCTGTTGTGCAAACAAAAACCGCGATCTCCTCGCTGCCCAACAGCCCTAATCCTTGGACCAATTCTAATCGGTGGCTGGTTGCCCTGGAGGCATACTCCGCGGGCGCCACGGTCTTCAAAGCTCTCTCCACGAACTCTGTCACCGTCTTCTGGCTGCTGGCCAAATACTGAAAGCAAAGGACACTATGTTAAATCGACCGGAAGCTTCGTCCTTCTCGAGAGGCAGTTTTCGATCCTGCAGTTAGGAAGCCTGACTCTTTCATGAGCAAATTCTCGCCGTTCCTTTGACGACAGCTTTCGAACTCGATGTCCTAAGGGACTGATATACGTCTATGAATACTCGATTGGACGTTTCGGTGCTTTTAAATATGTATACGAAGGTATATGAAGGTATATGGAAGTTAGTCATATGCATTTTGGGTAGGTTTCAATCTATAGTGGTTTTGTTTATTTAAAATGTAATTATGAGAAGGAATAATGAATCGGATGTTTCGGTGGCTTTAAGTATGTAGTATATGAAGGTATAGTTATATGCATTTTGGGTAGTTTTTGAAATCATAGGTTTAGTTGCAATTATAAGTGTAATTATGAAGAGGTTAGAAACTGCTGATGTGTTTGTCAGACTATGTTGATGATTTGAATTAAGCTTGAAAGAATGAACAGACTTTACACCATTGTTTATTTTAATTCAATAGGTGGGTTAGAACCAATCTCCAAATTTACAAATCTCCAAGCTTCCAAATCCCCAACTTTCCAAATTCCAAATTCTAAAATTTCTTATTTTTCTAATTCCTGAATTCCTAAGTCCACAAATTGTCAAATCCCTAAACCCCCAAATCTCTAAATTTCCAAATCTCCAAATTTCCAAATTTCCAAATTTCCAAATTTCTAAATTTCCAAATCTTCAAATCTCCAAATCTCTAAATTCCCAAATCCTCAAGTCCACATATCCACACATCCACAAATCCACAAATCCACATATCCACAAATCCACATATCCACAAATCCACATATCCACAAATCCACATATCCACAAATCCACATATCCACAAATCCACATATCCACAAATCCACATATCCACAAATCCACATATCCACAAATCCACATATCCACAAATCCACATATCCACAAATCCACATATCCACAAATCCACATATCCACAAATCCACATATCCACAAATCCACATATCCACAAATCCACATATCCACAAATCCACATATCCACAAATCCACATATCCACAAATCCACATATCCACAAATCCACATATCCACAAATCCACATATCCACAAATCCACATATCCACAAATCCACATATCCACAAATCCACATATCCACAAATCCACATATCCACAAATCCACATATCCACAAATCCACATATCCACAAATCCACATATCCACAAATCCACATATTCACAAATCCACATATCTCCAAATTTTTAAAGCCATAAATCCTCAAATCTTCAAATCTCCAAATTCTCAAATTCCCAAATCCCTATATTCCCAATTTGTCAAATCTCTAAATCTCCAAATCTCCAAATCTGCAAATCACCGAATCCCCAATTCCCCAAATTCCCAACTCCTTTCCCATATCCCCTCACAACCAAACTCTGCAATCCCCCCTCCATCACCCCAATATCCCAACGTCCAATTACAATCCCATCCCTCACAAATCACACCTTCATCAAAAACCTAAACTTGACAACCCATTAACACCAAGTATCAATAACCTTGTTGCAAGTATCAACAATATTCCTATATTATTGAAAAATTCTAAATGGATGATGATTTACCTATCAACAACGTTAATAATAACATGATTACGCAATGACGTAATGTGGGAAAAAAGTACATAGCCATTAACGATATCCAGAGTCAGAAAATTTGTTTAACGTCATTAAGGATGATGCTCGCGAGGACAATTGATAATGATGCCACGAACGCGGAAGCTTCTAACGGTGATCACAACAACCGCAAACAATCATTTCAATCTGCAGTATCGTTAACCGCTAGGAAGCATTATGTCTTACTTACGAACAGGTGTTGCCTGTTCTACGTTCACACAATTCTGGCCTAATAGCTTGCGACAAACGACAACCGTTTCGCGGAAATCTTAGTCAGAACAGCAATGCGAAAGTTCGTGTTTCAGGTTTCAAGTAATAGGTGATCAAGAATTGTGGTGTTTTATGGGGAAACGAGTTGTTGGATGGAAATTGAAGTGCAATTTTTGAGATTTTTTAAATGTTTAACGAAAGGAAAATATTTGTGAAGTCTTCTGGTTAAGGAATTGACAAGTTTTGGAGTTTTTAAGGACCTTTCAAATATAAAATTTTCAACATTCGAATGTTCAATAGAGTTCTCAAGTTTTCAAATTTTTGGATTTTCAAGTTTTTAGATGGAAGTGAAAGTTTGGATTATCGAATTTTGGAATTATTTCACATTTTCGAGTTTTTAAATTCGAAAATTTTCAATAACTCAAATACTCAAATTTTCAAGTTTCTAAGAGCTCAAACTACTTGCACAATTTCTAAATTGTAAAAGTTACTAATTTCTCAAATTTTCCAAATTCCACAAATTACTTTAAATTTCTCAATTTCCACAGAATACTTAAAAATTCCAAAAATTCTTAAAATTCCTAAAATTCCTAAAATTCCTAAAATTCCTAAATTACCTAAAATTATTAAAAATTCTTAAAATTCCTCAAATTTCTAAATTTCCCAAATTTGCTAAATTTGCTGAATTTGCTAAATTTCCAAAAATTACTAAAATTATAAAAAATCCAAAAATTCTTAAAATTCCTTAAATTTCCTAATATTCTTAAAATTCCTAAATTACCTAATATTATTAAAAATTCTTAAAATTCCTAAAATTCCTAAATTCCCTAAATTACCTAAAATTATTAAAAATTCTTAAAATTCCTAAAATTCCTAAAATTCCTAAAATTCCTAAAATTCCTAAAATTCCTAAAATTCCTAAAATTCCTAAAATTCCTAAAATGCCTAAAATTCCTAAGTTTCCTAAATTACCTGAAATTATTAAAAATTCTTAAAATTCCTAAAATTCCTAAGTTTCCAAAATTTTCTAAAATTATTAAAAATCCCAAAATTAGTTATCCTCACAACTGCATCTAAATACAAATAAAATGCGTTTACATTAATAACACATATGTCATTACGCACTTATTTTTATTACATAATGTTTGAGCAAACGATTGAATATGGAATAAGAAACGTGCGTAACATATTTATGAAAGCTCGTAACAGGAAAAATAGAGAATCGAGTCAAGTTTCCTAACGGTGTACGGTATAACATTAAAGACACTTGTTTCTTTTTGAATAATCGTTCACGGTATTCGAGTACTCGACGTTATCTCCAACAAAAGTTCGATAGAAAAACCCAAATCGTTCTTCTTCTTCTTCCTTTTCGATCGCGTTTACGCGTGACAGCCGGTTCGAGCTTACATAAGCTCGCGATAAAAAGTAGACCGTAAATCGCAAACTTTACGACTGCAAACAGCTATATATCCGTTAAATAAATTGAGGAATCTATCTTGTGCAACTTGACAACTTACGACATCTTGCGACAACTTAGAGAAGACCTTTGTTTGGTTTGTACATATGTGATGAGATGAATAATTATGATGCGGAGGTAGGCGTTATTCGATTAATACTCGAATGAAAGTTGCAAACAAATTTGTTCCAAAACAACGGAACTGAATAATGATCTTTTTATTCAAATGGAAATACCTTTAAATATAAGAATGATTTTTCGAGGATCTTCGAATGAAAGTTTTGAATAATTTGAAGTTATATAACAGAATCGAATTTCTAATCTGAATGAAGTTTTAGTTGGAGTCACTTGGTTAATTTACGGTTTTAGGGATATTTTTGGGATTGGAGCTTAGATCTATTGATAGCATCAACGTTCGACTGTAAATGTGATTCAATGGTCTTAGGAAATTTGAAATGTTTTAATATTTGATAAATTGGGTAAATTTGAAAAATGAGATCAAGTTCAAGGGTCGATACATTTATTAAGTTTGTTAATTTTGGTGAATTTTGTGATTTTGATAAATTTGGTAAATTTGATAAATTTGATCAGGTTCAAGGTTCGATAAATTTTTTAAGTTTTTTAATTTTGGTGAATTTTGTGATTTTGATAAATTTGGTAAATTTGATAAGTTTGGTAAGATTGGTAAATTTGACGAATTTATGGATTTCGAGATTTGAAGATTTGAAAAAGTAGAAACTCGTGAATTTTTGAAATTTAGAAATATATGAAGGTGGAAAACTCGACAAATTGAAAACTTGAAAAATTGAGAACTTGAAGAATTGAAAACTTGAAGAATTGAAAACTCGAAGAATTGAAAACTTGAAGAATTGAAAACTTGAAGAATTGAAAACTTGGAAACTTGAAAACTTGAAAACTTGAAAAATTGAAGAATCGAAAACTCGAAAAATTGAAAATTTGGAACTTGAAAACTCGTAAACTTTGAAACTTGAAAACTTGAAAATTTGAAAATTTTGAAACTTAAAAACTTGAAGAATTGAAAACCTGAAAACTTGAAAAATTAAATAGTTGAAAAATTTCAGATTTCGTTTAACTTGAGTAACTAAAAAACTTGCAAATCTGAAGTTATGGAAATTTCAGATATTTTTTAAAATTGTAGAAAACAGAAGTTTACTTACATCCGCAAGAGACGTGACGCACAAAGGACAAGCTGATGAATAATCCAAACAGCGATCCAAACACATCCAGCAATACGTGTGGCCACATGGTGTTGTTACGGGTTTCCATAAAAGTCGACAGCATAAAATACAATCCAATTCTCCAGCTGTACCGCCCGAAAGAGGAGGAAATAAAATTTCTGCGGGCCTTGCTTCAAGTCCTGCAAAAATTAATTCTACAATCATAATGCATTAAATTACCTACATGAAATATTTAATAGAATTCATAAATTTTCAATGCAATTACAAAATGCAAAGAATATTTATTACATGAAATATTTACAATTCACAAATTCTTAAAGCAATTAAAAAATACAAGAAATATTTTTGATAACTTCATTACGAAATTTGCAATTCATCTATACTTCACGAAATACAAAAATTTGATATATGATTTTACTCTGAAAATTGCAAGACAGTACAACTAAAGGATTTAATAAGAAAATTGAAATCAAAATACTTTACTGAATCACTTTATTGTTCAATAAATTAATCGTGTTACGAGTGACCAGCTACTTAACTGCATACGTAATCAGTGAAACTTACTTTTCAATTTTTCAATATCTTGATAGAGACGATCTAAACCAGCTTGCAGCTTCGTGTTGTTTTGCGGTACTGTGCTTGAGAGAAGTCTCCTGCTAACAGTCTGCAATGAATCAACAAGCATAATTGGATTAAGCGCGAACTTTAATCTTAAATTATTAGGGCTGACACGATTAGAGCTCCTTTTCTTTGAAATACAATTCATCCTTATCTCTTACGGAGAACGCGCGTCCGATTGCGTAACAATTTAATGGATCAATTAATCGGCAAACCGGTAATTTGTTCGGAATCTAATTGCGAGATTTTTTATTTTGTTTTTCTTCTCTCATCGTCAATCACAGATCCTAAAACTATTATCTTGTAAAAACGTTTGTTCGTGTTGGTAAGAAGTTTTTAATTCTTTTTACTGTTTTATGTGGGAATTAATTGCTTCATTAATATTTTTCAATTTTTCAATTCTTCAAGATTTTAAGTATTCAATTTTGTGATTTCTCCATTTTTCAATCTTTCAATTTTTCAGATTTTCAAATTTTCAGGTTTCCAATTTTTCAGGCTTTCAATTTCTCAATTTTTCAGGTTTTCAATTTTTCAGGTATTCAATTTTTCAGGCTATGAATTTTTCAATTTTTCAAGTTCTCAAGTTTCCAAGTTCTCAAGTTTCCAAGTTTTCAAATTTCCAATTTTTCAATTTTTCAATTTTTTAATTTTTCAATTTTTCAATTTTTTAATTTTTCAATTTTTCAATTTTTTAATTTTTCAATTTTTCAATTTTTTAATTTTTCAATTTTTCAATTTTTTAATTTTTCAATTTTTCAATTTTTTAATTTTTCAATTTTTCAATTTTTTAATTTTTCAATTTTTCAATTTTTTAATTTTTCAATTTTTCAATTTTTTAATTTTTCAATTTTTCAATTTTTTAATTTTTCAATTTTTCAATTTTTTAATTTTTCAATTTTTCAATTTTTTAATTTTTCAATTTTTCAATTTTTTAATTTTTCAATTTTTCAATTTTTCAATTTTTCAATTTTTCAATTTTTCAATTTTTCAATTTTTCAATTTTTCAATTTCTCTATTGTTATAAAAATCTGTATCTTATTATTCACTTTCATAATATTATCACCTATTTTTTTAACCTAAGAAAGACTCCATAAAAAATAAAAAGGTTCAGGAAGAATTAACTGTTACAAGAGCAGATTAAAAAATGGAAGACGAAGTTGATAACAAGAACCGACGAAACCTTGTTAAAGATTCTTAATTAAGCAGTTCAAATGATTACTTGTTATCGAACACCTGAAGCTTAACTCGACGAAGTCAACAGCAATTAAAACGTCTGGTTTATATAAGTTCTAGCAGACCAAATTATTGCCTCTGTGATATCCGTATTTCCTATCAATATGTAGTAATTGCAAATTAATTGTTAATTATGCGGTTTACGCGGCAAGAAGTAAATACAATCGAAGTCTAACATTGCGGTACACTCCTTTCAAGTAAACGAAATAATTAATCGTGATACGTGGAGGATCGGAAAAGTCATATAATCACTGAAGTAATCATTACCGTTCTGATAATTATTGCTTATGCGCTGAACGAATGTATAAAGAAGAGTAGTGGAAGGAAATTGATTCTGAGAGTCGACATTAGTTTCCTTCGTTTATAATTGTTGGTAATTAGAGATTTACAAATTATAGTCATAGGTACGGTGATTTACAAGCGGAATAATTATTTTAACTAATCTGAATGTTCACCTTTCTGTGATAACGTGCTTCTGTTTATACATTGTAGCTTCATTTTCTTGCACTTTCAATTTTGAGATTTGTAAATCTTTACATTTTTGAGTTTGCAAAATTCTAGTTTTCAGGTATAAAAATTTCTACATTTTTGAACTTTTAAGATACAAAGCACTGGAATATCAATTTTTCAATGTGTCCATTTGTCAATTTGTCAATTTGTCAATTTGTCAATTTTTCAATGTTTCTATTTTTCAATGTGTCAATTTTTCCATTTTTCAATTCTTTAATTCTTCAATTTTTCCATTTTTCAATTTTTCAATTTTTCAATTTTTCAATTTTTCAATGTTTCAATTTTTCAATTTTCCAATTTTCCAATTTTCCAATCTGTCAATTTGTCAATTTGTCAATCTGTCAATTTTTCAATTTTTAAATGCCAAATTCCAAGTTTCAATATTTTCTGAATCCCCAAATTCCTAAATTTCCAAACTTGCAAAAGTACCGATTGCTAATATTCTTGAATTGATATATTTTCAAGTTACCAAATATATCAGGGAAAATTAGTGTGATAAATTAAAAAAAAAAAAGAATAAATTTCTTACCTGTGTGTACTCCTCTTCACCGCCGCTACTATTATCTTCGCAATCTGAACCGTTCAAAGCTACCCGTCGACTTCTCTTCAGACTCATCAATTGATGACGACTCCTCACGCGTGACACACCTTCCGTTAAATTGTAAGGGGCACGAGATGGAACGCTATATAAACGATGACCGGATGACAGCACTTTGTACAGCACCTGAAGACAATCAATCAAATGATACCTTTTATAATTTGATTGTAATGTGACAATACAGTATATATTATAAACGTAAGATTAACATTTCATATTTCTTAATTACACACATCTTATACTTTTAAACACTAAAATTCTCATGGCTGCACATTTTTAAATTTTTCATTTGGTCAGGTTTTCAAAATTTCAATTTTTCAATTTTCCAATTTTCCAGGTTTTCAAATTTTCAAGTTTTTAAGTTTTCAAGTTTTCAAGTTTTCAATTTTTCAATTTTTCAATTTATCAATTTGTTAATTTTTCAATTTGTCAATCTGTCCATTTTTCAATTTTCAATTATCCAATATTTCAAATTTCTAAGTTCTCAAATTCCCTTAAATACTCTACACCCTAAATTTCAATATTTCTTCTTCATAAATTTCAATCCTGTAAAGATCCTCAACTTCTACAAGTAAATCTTAAAACTCCCAAATTATATATATAATGAACAAATTTACACTGTCAGTACTAATAACGAACACATTACAAACATACACAATTAAGTATAGTTTCACTTTCAAACGAATCACGATCTGCAACTATTACCTCGCACTCTGCACTGAATTTTTAATACAAATTTAAAACATGTTTAATGCAAAACGTTTCGATTTTAAAATACTTGTTATGTGCCCGATAATAAATTGCGGAAAACGTACTGTATAAATGGTCTGATTTACTAGGCCTTCCTTAATACACTTCTTCAACGTTACGTTAACCTAATAGAGACACCTCTTTGTTAGTCGACGATGTTCAATGCAAATGCGGCCTGTAAATCCTTGTAAGTAGGATTTACGTTCGCCTCGATATGGCGAAGAAAAATCGTGACCACGGTACTTACTGCTGTAATTGCTACGTTGTTTGCCGCTTGAATGCTATGCTGCATCGTAACTCGATTCACCACATGCTAGGTGGAGACATTTCATGACATTTCGAACGTCTTGTGAGGCGACGTTTAAAGATCAACGTTGGAATTGCTCGTGATTTATTGTTATTCAACTCGAGTCGAAAGTCTAAGCAAATATTTTTTACAGTAATTCAATGTAATTATTTTAAGCTTGAATTTAATGAACAATTTGGTGAGATGACTTTACAATAAATTCTTGACAATTTATTGTCGTACGTAGGACTATAAGAGCCTCTGTATATTACTGTTATGTTACTTTGTGTTTTAATTGAAAAAATGTTAAACTTACAATTGATCATTTTCTTGTAAGCGAATCGAAAATTAGACAATAAATTGAAATTTTTAAAAACTTGACAAATTTAAATTTTTTGTATACCTATACATTTTATTTTCAATATGAACAAGTATAGTTTAAATATCAAGTCGAGAATATTTTTGAATAATTTAATAAATCAAGCTTTCCTTACCATGACATAACGTTATCCACACGCTGGATTACTACGCGTTAGATTACCACGCATTAGATTCCTGCACTTAGAATTACCACGCGTTGCATTACTACGCGTTGA